ACAGACAGTAATAAGAAAACATTTCTAACCCTTCCCTACTTTGCCTAAAACTAAGAAAATAAATTGACTTTACAAGAACTTCAATTAAAGAATACGTGCACTTTTAGACAAAGTACCCCCCGACCACATATTCCCCCTCCACAGATATACCAAGATCTGATGCCAACAACCCCCTGTGTTTGTTGACATCCCGTGAGTCCTCTCTTCTGGTCACACTTGTGCAGTAGAGCCTCATAGAAGTCTTTGGGGCTTGTCTCTAGGCCAGGAGAGGGAGGTAGATGTGCTGTTTGGACTTCTCTTAGTGCAGCCAAAAGAGAGAGGGTGTTATGGTAAGCTCAGAGTACCTGTCAGGGTTTACCATTCTCCTCTGAGAATCCAAGCCAGGATTTCCAGAGGATTTGTTACTAATGGATCTCACAGGGTCCAGGCCAGTATGGCTAATAATAGTAACAGATTCCAGACCAGGACTCCAAATGTATGCTGAGGCTGGGACAGTTAGCCAGCTCAGCGCTTTGGGTGAGTATAAAGTTATTTTTGAACCTAGACAGCACTTAACTCTTGCAGTGCAGGGGTAGCCCACTGCAAGTGTTAATAAAAACTTTTCCTGGAGTTCTTCTTTAAGCTTTCTTTGGTCGAATGTTGCTAGGCTATTTTTTATTCTGGGCAAATTGTTTTAGGCTATTTTTAATTGAATATTGTTATCCTATTTTTTATGCTATTTTCTCTTCTGCAGCAACCTCTGTAACATGGCAGCTCTTCTACAAATACGTTTCAGGTAAAGCTCTGGGTACAAACACTACTGCTGGCCATACATGAAGCAACTCTGTGGAAGATTTGGAAATTCTCTTCAGCATTTAATAGAAAAAACAATCACATGAAGGGTTCACAGCAATTAGCCACCAACATATTAATCATCTCCCAGTTTTGTAGAACCAGATGAACAAAATTATAGTGAAAATAAATCAAAACCATCACAGTGCCAGTCATATGCATTTTGATAGGTTCCAACCCCAATTTCAATTGCTTGTGAACCTCAAATAATTATGTACATTACTGCATTGTTTTAGCCTAAAATCTAATTATGTAGCTAAACAGAATCTGATCAAACAAGAAATCATGTCTTCATTCATACATCATTACTGCTGAGGTCACATGAACTCTCCTGCAGGGTAACGAGCTTATAAGGCAGAAAATTGAACAAGATGTTCTAATTAATAAAATGTCAGTCAGGCGTGAACTTGCCTATTAAAATCATCAATCACAGTATGCGTTTCACAATACACTTCTTTAGAATAACTCATGCTAGTCAGAAAAGCTGATTTTTGACTTGCTGGGTGTGGTGTTATAACTATTTGCCTTGTGGAATGCTGTGCCCTATTCCATGACAACAAGTCAGAAATCAGCTTCCATTAGGCTGAACATACAGCTGACAGCTGATACACCATTAGTTGTTATTGTACTGCACATCAATACTTTTTTTTTGCTACAAATTCCCCAAAGAGAAACAATGCCACTGTCTCCAATCTGGAACTTGATGAATCAAGAGCTATTGGATGAGTAGTAAAATGGTTTAAATGCTCAGATACTGTAGAACTGCAGTCAAATGTTTTTGTTTCCATCTGGGTGGCTTCCTGCTGCTTGACTGGTGACACACAAGAAGCAAATCTCACCAAAGGGGATACAGGTAGCAAAATAAAACATCTGATGAAATTTCTAACGCTTCCTCCTTCATTGTTGTCTGTGTTTTTGAGATTTTTCTCTGAAAATGCTATTTTTTCCCTAGCCTGTAACACTCACCTGTTCCACCATCCAGCACACGGTTCCCTCTCCATTGCTCAGCTGCTGGCGCTTCCAAGTTTCACCCAGAGCACCAGCATCACCTTCAATCAGGAGACAGCTATTCTGACTTGCACCAGCTTCAAGTAGCAAAGCCAAGTCCTTTGCTGTTGTGACTCCTGTACTCCTGTGTCTGCAGTGACCCCTGCATTCCTGTGCCTTTAGTGTCTCCTGTGATTCTGAATCCTCTAGGGACCCCTACATCCATGTCCTTCAGTGACTCCTGCACTTCTGTGCCTCTTATGAGAACTCTTGTGACCTCTGTGTACACCAGTGACCCCAGCGCTCCTGCACTTCTAGTGACTCTGTGAACCTGGTGCATTCCTGTGTCTTCAGTGACCCCAGTGTTTCCAATGACTCAGCATTCTATGTTATCCTGTGGCTCCAGCGCGCCATGAGTGCCTCCATTGCACCTGCATCTCCACAAGCCTATAATCCTTTACTGTCTCTTTCCCTGTGGATACAGACCCCTGACTCTGAAAAATTCCATTTGAAAAATAACGAAGGGCCCGTGCACACTAGCCCATCTGCTGAACCGCTGTGTTTTCGTGGACGGGCTAGTACATTGTGACAGAACCAGTAGTGTACATTGTATTACACACTGCTGGAGCAGTGGCAGACTGAAAACACACATGGGCCCCTGGACATTATGAGATTATGGGGCCCCCTTGTGATCTGCCTATATACAAGTAGAATATATAGAGTCACCGGCACTCCAAATAGTGAATCAAATACGTCTGTTTATTGAAGTACAAGCAGCATAACATGATGCACTCAATGCGACAACCTTTCCACCTCACTACATCATACACAATAAAGGCCCCTCCCCTTTCAGGGCGTCCCACCCCTCTTCTTAGCAAAGGCCCTTCCCCAGGTGTCCCATTCTTCTGGGTACATATCTGTCTTCAGTCCATTCCCCCATGCACAGACGCCTCCCCTATCTGGATGTATCCTTTCCCCCATACACAGAGCCCTCCCTTCCCCGGGTGTCTTTCCTCACCCTTCTGCTGGGCACAGGACAGGATGGCCTCCTCCTTGAGGTTGGTGACCTGGATGATGTTGCCCTCCATGGGGGCTGGGCTCTCCGCTCTGCCTGTGAATTGGATTAGTCGGGTGTGAGCTGACGGCTCCCAAGGAGATCCGGGTGCTTTGCCTGCCTCCTCAGCATGTAGTCCAGATGGGATCGGATCACTGGAGATCCCCGCCCTCCCCTCACCTTCCCAACATGCATTGTTCTGGCCCCTCATCGCCGCAGGTCCTTGGTCCCTCAGTCAGTCCACCCCTGTGCTGCAGCTATTACTGTTTAATTTTGTTTTCAACTTTAGGTGGAGTGTACAATGTGTATACTCCATTCAGGTCCCAGCACTATGACTAGTGGTCACTGCACATGTGTAAATGGGCCCTAAGGCTTCATCCTCAGCTCCAGCCTAGAGCTCTGGCACACACTGCACAATCTCACTATCCAGTGAAAGCCATCAACTGCCAGTAACATTCCTGTCGCTGGATAATGACATGGCAGGGGAATGTAGCAGGGCTCTAAATCAAATCTAATTTGGAGCCCTGCTACATGAGTTCACAGCTATACCTTGTACATAGAATCAGAGTACTCCCAAGGCACGCAGTAGAGCATCTGTTCAGTGATCAATGTACTCTAAGGCACTTTGTGGCACCTGTTCCTATGTTATTCTGTTTCTTAGGACACTTGCAGCGATAAGAGAGGTTCCCTTTCATAATGATAGGCAGTCACGTACATTCATGTTACTTCAAAATCAGCCAGATGTCTTCCCATTTACCACCCAGAGCCATATTTAAAGGCCCCTGCAAAGTGTAAATCACTTTGTTTTCTTACACTGGAATGACAAATTGATTTACACACCACGTTTGTTACAACAACGGACACTGTAGGAATTCATCATCATTTTTGTTGTGGCAGGCAGGATTATTTGCAAAGAATTACATCCACAGAATATATATTGGCAGCAGCTGCAAATAGTTAGAAAGGGACAGAAAACAACTTGAAGAGCTTCTTTATACTAACATTTTAATTCAGACTGTGTTTATCATTTCCTGGTATGTGGTAACTGCACATAAGTGGCTCTATACTATTCCTCAATCATGTTTACTTTAATTATAGCAATACCGAGTAAGTATATATTTAGTCTATGAGAAATGTCACTAGCAAGAAATGTCACTAGCAAGAAGTTCATTTTAAAGCAGGTCAGACTGAATTTGAACTTTAGATAGTAGTGGCTTTTAGCTTTAAAGTCATTTTACAAGGTTGGTGTCAATATACATATCATATGTAGTAAAACAAATAATAAATAACATAAACTAAACACAACAACCATTAGCAACAGGATAAACAATAACACTATGGTCAACATTAAGTATTTCAGCTATGTACGGAGACATCAAAACAAAATATAAAATTCCTTGAGCTGCTTGGAAAAGCAAGGGAAAAAAAATTGTATTCGTGTATATAACTGAAACAATTGTAAATGAATTACTTCAGTCACTCTGAAAAGACAAAACAAAATGTATCTACAGAAATGGAAGCAAGATCTCTACTTGAAGAGCAGTTCCATGCAACAAAAAAAAAAGCAATTGGTAAGCTAATAATGCTTGCCAGCCAACAGTACTACTGTGCTAACATCAAAATCTCCAGTGAAAAAAACTACCCCTGCACTGCAAAGGTTAACTGTTTGTTTTCGTCAAGGGGTATTGTGTAAAGCACTATTACTTACCTGATCCACTCTCCTCCAGGTGGTCAGCTCTCATCTCTCTCCCCTCGCTCCAGCTTGTGGACTGTCCCTCAGTATCTTTACTTATAATGCAGGGCTGTGGGCCCTGCATTAGATGTGACGATGTCAGTGGGCCACCAGCCAGCTGCAGGCGCCAGTTTCAAAGACTTAGGAAGCATGGATCAGGTAAGTAAAGGTCCTATAAATGTAAATGTACAATACCCCTAAACACAAATGAGCAGTTAACCCTCACAATATGGGGGTAGCCCCACTACAAGGGTAAGTTTTTTTTCTGGATATAGGCTTTAAAGTAACTCTGTCACTGTATATATATTTCTTGTAAGTCTCTAGATTTCTGCTCACTATCAATTTACACTGATTATGTCTAGGATACTATATCAGTTAATGTAGTCAATAGATTACCTTGTAATAGTCCCTAGGAAAACATCGTTCTGGCCAGGTCCAGGGCTATGAACCACAGGGAAGCCATTGTGGCTGGTATTAGTCAGAAGTTCAGCCAATGAAGAAACACTTTCCTGTAGTTGTATAACTGTGCAAGACTTCATAACATCTCGGGCAGTGAAGAGTTCTAGGTTTACCCTGACAAAGACAAAGCAGAAAAACATTTCAGTAAAAAGAAAAGTTAACATTGCTATTCATAAATTGATTAATTATATGTTACTTATCAAATTTTATTACAGCTTTATTTATGTATGTGTATGAATGTAGTATTTTTACTAAATTACTTTTTGTATTTTTGTGATTTCCATAGTTAGTAGTGGGCTGTAACCAGCCTAACTGTACCTCAACAGGAGAGTTTCTCTAAGCACAAAGTGTATTATCTCTTCCACTTATTTGAGCTTGCTCCAGTGGGGTGTACCGGAGATATGACTCTGTGTTATGTAGGCATCAGTGGGCCTGGGGAACCTGCTGAGGCAGGCTAGGAGAATTACTTAATATCTGAGCCACTTCCTATTCTCTCTCTTCCCTTCTGGGATTTTGCCCTATGAGGATGTCAGCTAATAGGTCGGACTATCCTAAGCCTTGGGTGTAGGCTCATGGAGAGATACAGGGATCTTCCCTCAGAAAAACCCTGAAGGTGTTGGTTGCTGGAAGACAAGAGCATATGGCTTTGCTGCTTTTGTCCCCCACACATGGAGATGTGATAAGTGATAGTTGAGTGGATTATACACAGGGACCTTCCTATGTTTGCATGCTTGGAAGTGAAAACTGAGATACCACTAGACCCTCAATTGCCAAGATGCCCGAGATCTAAAAGGGTCAAGCAAGCATAGTCTGTGATTTAAAAAAATACTTTAATAAGGGTTCTAGAGGAGACTGAAAAGTTACTGTTCCTAGGGCTTTACTGTAAGTAAATCAACTTAGAACATTAGTAATGTAGCTATTTGATAGCTGGAAATCAATATGGATGTGTAACTATTGAGGATCGGTACAAATAGTGCTACATGGGTTTATTTTATAAGGGACATTTCTAGCTTCAAGCTAAACTCTAGGCATATATAACATACTCAAATGAATGCAGCTTTGTAATCATAAATAAATCATTATTTTTAAATGTGAGCAATATGGGTATCTTGAATTGACCTGCCTCTGTCCAGTCACAGGTAAAGAGGGGGGCTAAAAACTGTGAACTGAGACTGGAGATATCTAGTGGGAAAAAAAAAATACTGTGGGGGAAATCTGAAGCTGAATATTGCAGCAGAAGCAGGTTTTGTTGCTTATATATTTTTTTTTTTAAACAAAATTTTTTGATTCTGTTATTGCGGACAACCCATGTCGGGTAAAACCACAACTTACCAAGATATTCAATACAATTAATACGAGGTTTTCTCAAAACTACCTCGACAGTTGCACCAGAAATAACATCTTTCCAACTTTCACAACATTCCCGTGCTGGTTGCTTTGCTTATATTTTAATGGATTCTTCATCTTGTTGTTTTTGGCTGGAGTTCTGCTAAAAGGCCTTGTTTACACCAGATACAGTGTGTTCCAGCCCGATTCTGGCCAGAATGCACTTCATCGCATTGCGGCCGGTTCACTATGTTGTGGGGCAGGAGGGGGTGTGGCGGTCCATTGAAGTGAATGGCACCGTAGCCACGCCCTCCAGCCGCAATGCTGCAGCATTTTGTTTGGACCGGACCGCAGGCATAATGTGCCTTGCGTTCCCATGCGGCTGATCGCATTGCGGCCGGAGGGTATGGCTACTGTGCCATTCACTTCAAAGGACCGTCACACGGTCCATTGAAGTGATACATACACCTCTTCTAGTTAGCATGACCACTCTGTCAATAAACCTGTAAATAGATTTTTGATTTGTATCAGGGAAAGTCACACAGACATGGGAGAAATATTATCTGCATTTCATTATTTAATGATAACAATTGCTAGATCATATATACTGTAAAGGCAGTCTTTTTTTGCTATAATTTTTACAAGAATCCTTACCTCTTATTGCCATGGACTACATGTGGTTCTGCCTCTAAATGCGGGATACACTTAAGATGCAATAAAGAGCTGAACAGGGAATGGTTGAAGTAATCACCAACTGTTTTTCCAATCATTACTGCCACCATGATCAGCAGGATGGACTGCACATCATTTGTTATTTCAACCTAGGAAAGCAAAATAAGCCAGAATCCTCAGTCAGTAGAAAATATTCAAACATTTCTCAAGATTGCTGCATAATTGATATGTAGACCATGCCAGTTCAAGCTCTAGCTATGCTTTTTATATCATCTATTTTATTGACATCATTGAAAGTGTATTAAACATTATGTGAACAGGGCAATCTATTTTTTAGGACCTCAGTCTGACATCTCATTGTAGGACACCATTTAATAATGAATATACACGTATATGCATATTGGATTTCAACAGTGCTTAACTGCTTTTTTTTTTTAAATATTGGATGGAGTTTTGCCTTCTGGGCAGGTTTGTTACAAGAAAGCACATAGCTTTAGTTCCCTTTTACTTACAGTGTTTTATTCACAGGCACAAATGTAGCCCCAATTCAAATGCCTTTATATCCCATAAAGCTTTTCATCTGGAAGAAAAATGAATATGCCAGAGTTCTGCTGCTCACATATATTGCAAACGTCTGCGTCTTCTCACAAAATAGTTTGCAATATAAAACTGATTCAATAAAGCAGCAAAATAAGCAGTGAATCAGATTAACAATGAATAGGATTTTATTTCACTGTGGGCCGATCAGTAAAAGTGAACCTATTATTAAAGTTTGCACTTTGCATAAATCAGCATTACCAAATCCCATTATTATTTCAAGTAAAAAAACTTATTTTCTCTATTAATAAAAAAAACGGCTGTTCTTAAGCTCCAATCCTAGGCAGTCAAATGGTCTCTTGTCAGTCTACTGTTTTCAATAAGTAGTGAGCTGAGATGATCAAAAATGCTGCCCCTATGTGCACAGATAATTATAGACTGTACGCAGAAATTATGGTTTTGAAATACTGATATACTGATAAAACTATTTTCATTAAGTTGACCCCCTTAACAAGTGTATATGATCATTATTTTAAAAAATCCAGTTTGTCTTTTAGAGAAGAATGCTAATTGATATGAGCTCATTGCGCTTTAACCTGCTTTATTGAATAACCCTATTAGAGATAAATACATAGGGGTTGCTTCACGTGGCTTCGGGTCGGCCGAACATGCTGAGCAGGAGGAGCTAAGCCGAACCTCTGGCAGGCTACTTGCTGCTGTTCGGTCTATTCTTATAGATGCCGAACAGCAGTGAATGAATAGCTGAATGCCGCTGAGCGGCATTCGGCTCGGCTGTTCTGCTCGGTCCCTCAGAGGGACCGAGCAAAACAGAAAAATAGTTTAAAAAGTACAAAAAATAATAGAAAACGATTGTGCAGAGCTAGCAGTTCTGCTGCCATCCTGCCCCTGGTTACCTGGTAACCAGGGGACGCTGATCTGTCATTTCAATGAGAGCTTAGCGGAGCTGGCTTTGATATCACCGCTGGCTCCGCCGAGCTCTCATTGTAATGGTAGCTGGTCCCGGCCAATAGAAAACAGTTGAGCTGAGCTAGCTGTCACTGCTAGCTTCGCCCAATCGTTTTTCGTTTTTTTACTTGTTTTAACTGTTTTTCTAATCTGCTCGGTACCACGGAGGTACCGAGCAGAATAGCCGAGCCGAATGCCGCTCGGCGGCATTCCGCTATTCACTCACTGCTGTTCGGCCCCTATGAGAATAGGCCGAACAGCAGCAAGTAGCCTGTGGGAGGTTCGGCTCAGCTGATCCAGATGTTGGATCGGCTGAGTCCAAATCCTTCTGCACTTCGTGTCGGCCGAAGCCGAAGCAAGCCGATGTACGGCTGAAATCAGCTGTACAAGCCTGAAGTGAATACCCGCACAGCATTCGGCTCACTTCACTTCGGGTCAGTTATTCACTCGGCTGCCTACGGCAGCTTTGTGAGTAACCCCCTCAGTATTTATTTGTAATACAAATATACAAGAACTTACCTACCGGTAAGGGTATGTTTATCATTGTCTGCTTGATAAAAGATTTGGTGGTCCCCCACACATAAATTCCTCTGAACACTGCTCCAATTACCAGTGCTGCTTAGGGTGTGAGAGCATGGTTGATTAGAGCCATATTCAGGGGCATGGCAGGCCACTCAAGAGTTGGACCACTGCTTTGTTTGAGGGAGTTGTTCCCCAACAAATATGCTGGCAGCACATGGTATTTTAACCCTTGCTGCAGCATTTATCAATGTAAAAAATAGCCACATATTTAGAACACAATATTCAGCCTGGCTGCATTACAGTAATAAAAATGTATATAAGGTGGGTTCAATCGTAGTTAAATGTGTTATTTTGAATTGAGATGGGGGAGGATATTGGTCTAACTAGGTAAATAGAACAAGTAACAGAGAATTAAGTACTTTTTTTCTTTTTACATGTTTGAGGAGCTGCAGCTTCAGGAGTCCCACACTAAAAAATACCAGCACAAGCAATTGTCTTGATGAAAATAATCACCTCCCTGCCTGACTCCAAGGGTGCACCCAGAGTGCAGATAACAGTACTGTTCTTGGTTAAGTGCAAGCTTTAATAAGCATTTCATTATGTTACATAATACTGTAAGATAAATTAAGGCTCACATCACATGTTAATTCAACATAAGTAGCCATTACAATGGTAAAGCAGGGATTTGTTCACTATATGTTTATGTCACAATTGCTTTGTACAATGTTGTTTTTTACTGTGTTATGGAAATATGCCCATTAATGAATTAAAAAAAAGAAAAGTGGCCACGAGCCAAACCTGTAGTAGTTTATCAAAGCAGATGAAGTGCAAATAACATCTGGAGTTCAGATAATGCTGCAACGTATCTATCATTAGATTTTCCATGATTTTTTTTCTCTACAAACAGGTGTACTTGGTCAGATACATATTCCATTGTTCACAAAATCCTTTGCATAATTTTCTGTGGCAGAATTGTTTAGATCTCTAAGTATAAGCTACTGACAAAAATCTAAGCTATTGACACATTTGTGCAGCAATTGTTACTTGACTGGGCCAACACATATGCAAATTCAGGGAGCAAATGTAATACACATTCAAAAATCTTTTTATAAATATTTTCCTTGGTTTTTTGGGTTCTTTCTTTTTTTGGCGTGGGTGGGGGCGGTTGTCATTTATACAGAGAAGAATATATTTCTAAACCTATTTCTCCTTTTTAAACTGTTGCAACCCTGCTTCTAGCCATCAGGATACACACATGATTTGACCAGGGTCAATACAGCATAAGACTCTTGTTGAGTCCCCAGGCAACTGTAATATTAGGCTGATTATGATCTGGTGGATGTGGATATATACAAGTTATTTTAAATCTTGTGTGTAAGTGCGTCTATCTGCAATTTCTGTGCATTATCAAATGTTATTATTTTTATAATAAAGATATTTACACTTTTTTATTTATATTGTAGTGGTGCACATGTATTTATACGGTATTTGTGGTTGTAGTATTTAGTAACCTACAGAACAGGAGTTCTGGCTTCACTTGCTGCATGCTCTTTCCAGGTCAGTGACACAAATCCTTTGGATCAGCATGACAGTCAGGTAACAAGTGTTCTGAAAATGGAAAGGTTAGCAATGGCAACCTCCATATATCTCTGAGTACAGGTTTGCTTTAATCAGCCATGTGAAACCCAACATCTTAGACAGTATTGAGCTGTTCACATGTTGCAAAAACACGGAGGAAGGGTGTGTACCCACGTCCACTTGTGAATGTACAGATTAGTTCAATTTGATCATTTCCCCTGTTTCATTTCACAAATTAGCCTCATTTTGCTTCCAAGTTTCATTTGAAATTTAACCGATCTGACAATGTAAAAACACAGCTAAGCTCACCAGAATTTTTAAAGGTTCGGCTCATTTACTCCAATAGTACATGTGTTGCTGTAACTGCATTCCTAAAGAATGTACGTTTTCTCATTTTCTCTTGGGAAAGTAAAACAGGACTGGATCCAGACATTTACCACTGATTTTATAAAACAGAAACATCTACCCTGTTTCACACAGTAAGTGCTTTTTTGGCTTTGCTTTGCTATTGAAAAAAAATTATGTGACTCAGCTTTGCACTGGCTAGACTCAAACGTAAAGAGATGCAGTTAACATTTAACCTAAATATGACTCTGGCTGAAGTGTGAAAGCATTCATCTCATAGTGCTAAATAGTATTAGCTACAGCCACACACAGAGCACAGCTTGCCTGCTCTACTGATCTATACACAAATGAAGCTACTGTACGCTTCACTATCATGGCTCCATGATAAATTGTTCATTTCTCTGCATAAAGTATACTTGAAAACATACACAATTACAAAACATACAAGAAATGTTTTATATATATATATATATATATA